TGAGAATTCAGCCTCCCCTCCAGCACCAGGCACAGGGAGAAGGACGGAGACCTGCCAGGAAGAAGGAAGGGAAAGGGAAGGGTGAAGAAAAGACAACCAACGTTTCCTGACGCAGGTGTGAAGGACAAGAGAAAATCTGACGCCATCACTTTCGCCCAATTCTTTGGCCTTTGGCACGTGAACGATAAATGTCAGTTGAACTAAGTCATAGTAGAGAAAGAAATTCATGTCCCCAAATGCCCAGTCCAGAATTTTTACCATCATACCCTGTAACTAGGGTATGATGATATATGACTGAGAGATTGTGTCAGCAACTGCTCTAAAATTTACTAAATTAATTCACCAGTTTTCCAACCTTTAGATTCTGGTCTCCAACACCAGTGGCTACAGGAACCTTTTCCAAAAGCAGGTCAAAAAGAGAGCTACATGGAATAAAGAGAATCATATAACTATTAGTCTCACCATAAATTAAGAAACAGTGTGTTCTTAAAACCGGGACTCATTCAGGCAGACAGGTTGATTGCAAAGACTGTATGTTTCCAGACCTCCTTCTAGCTATCCAGCAAGATTTACCTAGAGCCAGGTGTATATATTACCTGCCCCTGACAGCCAAGTGTGTAAAGATGAGACAGCTACACAATTCTTGGGAGATCCAGATCATGGTCAAATAGAGACATGCCAAGAAAAGGAAAAAGATCCCCGAGCAGAAAAATAATGTACCCTAGGCAGAGACAGAGTAGAGAAGAAGGAAACACAAATAATGAAACTGCAGCCCAGAGAGACTCGAAAGCTACCTGAAGTCACACAGCTAGTAACAGCTAAAGCAGGAGTCATACCCAGTTTCAAGGAATATTGTACTCCTCTCCCTGACATGGTCTTCCCCACTCTTCCCTTTTGTAGAAGCATCTAGAGGGTGAATTTGGGGGCCTCTATCTTTGGGAGGGGCTTGTAACTCAGAAGACCCAGGAAAGGTTAGGATTGAATGAGGCAGAGTAGTGAGAGGAAAGCAGCTGCCCAAGGCTAGCTGGAGGCTCTGGGATTTCAACAAGAGCTGCACTGGGAACCCTGCTTCGGTCCAGCTGGGAAGGAAGGGAGCAAAATTTTCAGGGAAGATGCTCATCTGGGACATAAGGAGGGTGCACTGGTCAGGGTCGCCACCTGTATCATGTCTCTCAAGACCCAAGTGAGGCTTGGTGGAGGACAGCAACAGGAAAAGAAGGAGACCCCCATCTGGGCAACAAAGCAGAGAAACAGGAAGGAGAGGGAATGATAAAAACTAGGAGTTTGGGATGAACAGATACACGCTACTATGTATAAAATAGATTAACAACCAGGACCTACTGTATAGCACAGGGAACTCTAGTCAGTATCTTGTAATAAGCTATAATGGAAAAGAATCTGAAAAAGAAGCTGTCTACATGTATAACTGAATCACTTTGCTCTACACTTGAAACTAACACATTGTAAATTAACTATACTTCAATTTTTTTAAAAAGCTATAAAAATAGTGGACTCTTGGATAGTCTTTCAAGAGTTTTAAATACAGGAACTAATTTAATCACCACAATAAGCTGTAAGGTTTTTCACTATTAATTAATTACTGTTAGTCATCAGATATTATATTATTGTAATTAGTATCAATAATACCAACAACACTATTATTACTGTGTTTTATAGATGAGGACACAGGCACAGAGAGGTCAAGTAACTTACTCAAAGTCACACACTTGGCGAGTTTTAAATCTGGACAATCTGGTTTGAGGGTTCACACTCTTAACCGTTTCACTTGATAGCAACCACAGAGAACATTTCAAAGCAAAATTTAATCTGAGTTGAATCTACTTTGATTTAAGTCAATAATTTTGATATCTGACATCTTCCTAGCAGTTTACAATTTGCAAAGAGTTTGGCCTCCATCACTCTGGAATCTTAGCCCGGCCATTTACTTGCTGTGTGACTTCAGGCCAGTGACTGGCTAAGCTTCAGTTTTCCCATCTGTACAGTGGGGACAAGACTGCTGGTCGGGAGGGTGAAAGGAGAACACACGTGCAGGGCTCAGTCCCGCGCCAAGCCCATAATAAGCACTCAATAAGCGTTTGCTACTAATGTTGTGGTGGTTATTATCAACGTCTCACAGCAACTTCACAACAATCCTGTGACGGAGGTAGGATGTATTATCCTTGTTTCTCAGATGTGGAAACTGGAACTCATAGAAGGGAAATAACTAGCCAGAAAGGAAAACAGCCAGCAAGAGGAAATACCAGAGTTAGAAAATCTCCCAACTCCCAGCCTGCTGTCCTGCACCCAACCCTCAACTCCTCAAATCCACCTCCTCTCTCTTCCCCAGGAGGCACTGTTCTAGGAAGCAGATCATCCTTCAAACAGGACTGTGGATGAGTGTGAAGCAATTGGAAGCTGAGGCTCAGGGAGAAGTTCTGAGGACTGTGGAGAAAGTTCTCCACGTAAAAACAGGTTCCTATGTAGGGAAAGATGCACAGCACCTCCCCTCATCCCCAAGCAACTGCCAGAGGGGCCGGCCTGAGGTCACACATTGTGAAGACCTGTGCCCTGTGCCCTCCCAAGGAGCCCCAGGGGGATGGCAGTAGGTGGGGGGTGTCCTCAGGCCAGGAAGTAAAGAAGAATGGGAGTGTCTTCATCTAACGGGTAAACAGAGGAGTGTTTTTAAACACTGCCTAAAAATATCTCTTATATAATGCATTTAAACTGCATTCCACCTTGGGTTTGTTTTTTGCTTCTCTTTTATTTCTGCGGTTTTCTGTAATTCTGCATTTCAATGCATTTGTTCAAGTTTCTATTAGTGCATCCTGTTCTGGTACCCAGTGCATTCAGTCCTGTGGCTACAGGCTAAGAGCTACAATAGAGTCAGTCCATCTTCCGAGGTATAAGATCCTAGCTGACTGCTTTAAGGCTTTAGTTTCTTCGTCAATGCTGGTAATGTGATTGGAAGATTCTGGGATTTGGGGTATCTGAGTTGAAGTCATCCCTCCCAGATTGAAAATCATGTGCTTCCTTCTCCTACATTATGTGGATCCGTCACCAATTTTTTTTCCTTTTATGTATGAAAGCACTTATTTTATTTCTTTTAGTGGTAAGCAGTTTTTTTAAAAATACCTTGATACATGCTACTTGCAGAGCTTTATCTTATTAACATTCCATTGTTTTTTTGAGCAAATTGTTCCTGAACACCCACTAAGTACCAGGCATTGTGCCAGGCAGCCATAAAACAACAGACAAGACGGACTCCTCACAAAGTTTACAGTGAACCATACCTTATAGTTACTTATAGTTTTTTTAACAGCTACAAAGACAGAGACACCAACTACTCTGGATTTCCCCATATCCCCCAGGACATGGCACGGGCCATGGTAGCCAAGTAATAATCTCAGACTTTAACTTAAACAATTAACCGACCTGCTGAAAATGTATTCTTCTTTCTAGTTAGATGATATTCTACTTAATGCCCACAAGGTGGAGATCTTGCTTACGGTTTACCCAAGCTGAAAGCAATGCATTCAAAAAAAAAAAAAAAATTCTCAGAAGTTAAACCAAAAGACCAAAAATTAAATTCAATTTATTGAGCACCTTTTTAGTGCAATATCCTATATTAGGTGGTAAGACAAATAGAAAGTTGTTAAGATATAGTCCCTGCCTGCTAGGGAAAGATGGGGGTAAGGAGCTTGCACAGAGCAGGAAGACGGTACCTTTTAATGAATGAAGGTAGTATAGTAATAGTAATTTCATCATCAGATAAGATCTATACAAAGGCATGAGGCAGCCACCATGGGGTGCAGAAGAGATTCAACAAAGACCCCACGCTTCAGCCAATATGGAAACACTTGAGGGTACATGGGGTCAGCTCTGCAAGTCCCCAGATGTGGTCTCTGGATGCCTCTGCTTAGTCACAAACCTTAGGGTTTCTTAAAATGTTCATTCTTTGGAGAAAAAAATATAATCAGTGCCAGGTAATGAGCTGAGGCAGTTGAAAACCCCCAGTTGCATCTGATGGGGAGGTGGCATAAAGACAAAAGAAACACATGAAAGGAAACAAATTTCAAACTCCTGCTTTCTGAGGTGGATTCCACCCCCCAACCCCTTGTCTTGTGTCTCACCTGGGAAATCTTGGTTTAGATCTGGGACAGGGTCTCACGCCGAGAGGTAAGAGGGAGAGCCGATTTTTACCCAAGAGCCTTCCTGGTGGATTGAACCCGAAAGTGGCTGGAAGACAATGTGGTTTGCTGTTTACTTTTTCTTTTTTTTCTTTTTTTGCTCCTCCACCCCTCCCCCCAACCACTTCTTCCCTTAAACCATTAAACCAGTATGTCAAATACAATATGGGTTTGTTTTTTGGTTTTTTGTTTTTCATTCATTGAATTGAAAATCACATTTGGGGCATAAAGTGATAGTGAGTTTTTAAAAAACGAGAATGCTGGCAACTTGATAAAAATAGTGAACTGTCTTGATAGAGGGAAAATCAAGTGGCATGCTGCCCAGAGACCCCAGTTTGAATTTTAGTTTCTCCACTTGCTACTTCTGGGATCTGGAGCAAGCCCCATCCCATCTCTGTGCCTCAGTTTCCTCATGGGCAAAATAGTATCATTTCGTAGAGAAATGGTCTCTAAGGCCCCCTCCTCCGCACAAGTCGGATCCTGAGTTGTAAGGCTCTCCTGGCAACCTGAACATCTCCCTAGAATGTGAGCTCCGTGAGCACGTGACCTCATCTGTGGATTTTAATGCTCTGTGACCAGAACCGAGGGGAGTTTGTTGAATGGAACCTGCCTAGGGGTTCCTGCACAGTGAGGATGAATTCCCGGTGAGTTCCTCGGGAAAGGCGGAGTGACCAACCTCAAAGCGCACAGCCCTCGGTGACCAGTGTGGTGAGGGTGCTCGGGAAAGGAGGTGTCGGTTCAAAGTTGTTTGCTACAGATGGTTCGTCTAACCCGGCTGGAGTCACCTCCTCGGTGGCTCGGAGAGCTCCCCAGGGGTTTACATAAGGCAGGGTGAATCACACCCACCGTCGGAAACGGAGAAGGCAAAGGGACCTGCCCCAATCCACCCCGGGCGGCGCCGGGAGTGTGCTGGGGGTTAGTCTGAACTTTGCTGGAGGCCAGGAGCCGCCCAGGCAAAGGGACTCCACACCCACTCCAACCCCCAAGAGAGCGAGCGGCGCGTCTCACCCACCCAGCGCGAATCCAGCTCTCTGCCGCCAGCTCCGACGCCCCCGCGCGGGCGCCGCCTGCCTGACTTCCGGCTCCCTGCCCCTAAGTCCCCGAATGAGTGTGGGACCGCTTCTCCCGCTTGGAAGGAGCCATCGCCGCTTTAAAGGGAAGAGGCGGGGAAGGGGGCGGGGAGCGGCGGAGGAGGAGGGGGAGGGGGAATCCTCCATCGCTCCCACGTGGTCCGGGCGCCTGTGAATTGCGCCCGCCGGAGGGTCTCACAGCGAAATACAAAAGCAGCTGGGAAGCGGTAGCGAGGCGAGTTCTCAGTGCCGGGCAGAGACCCGCACCGCCCCGCGGCAGCGATGGAGCTGAGGCGCCCGGAGCCCCGGAGCCAACGAGCTGCCGAGCCCGCGTCGCCGCCGGGACCCGGGCTCCTGGGCTCGGCTTGAAGCGGCGGCGGCACCGGCGCGGCCGGGGGAGCATGGGCAGGAGGATGCGGGGCGCCTCCGCCACCGCGGGGCTCTGGCTGCTGGCGCTGGGCTCGCTGCTGGCGCTGTGGGGCGGGCTCCTGCCGCCGCGGACCGAGCTGCCCGCCTCCCGGCCGCCGGAAGACCGGCTCCCGCGGCGCCCGGCCCGGAGCGGCGGCCGGGAGCCCGCGCCTCGCTTCCCTCTGCCCCCGCCCCTGGCGCGGGACGCCCGCGGCGGCTCCCTGAAAACTTTCCGAGCGCTGCTCACCTTGGCGGCGGGCGCAGATGGCCCGCCTGGGCAGCCCCCGGGTGAGCGCAGGCGACACGTGCCAACCGGACGGCCCTGGCCTGAGGAACGCGCCGCGGTGCACGGGGGCGTCTTCTGGAGCCGCGGCCTGGAGGAGCAGGTGCCCCGGGGCTTCTCGGAGGCCCAGGCGGCGTCTTGGCTGGAGGTGGCGCGCGGCGCCCGGGTGGTGGCCCTGGAGCGCGGGGGCTGCGGGCGCAGCTCCAACCGGCTGGCCCGCTTCGCCGACGGCACCCGCGCCTGCGTGCGCTATGGCATCAACCCCGAGCAGATACAGGGCGAGGCCCTATCCTACTACCTGGCGCGCTTGCTGGGCCTCCAGCACCACGTGCCGCCTCTGGCACTGGCCCGGGTGGAGGCTCGGGGCGCGCAGTGGGCTCAGGTGCAGGAGGAGCTTCGTGCCGCTCACTGGACCGAGGGCAGCGTGGTGAGCCTGACTCGCTGGCTGCCCAACCTCACGGACGTGGTGGTGCCCGCGCCCTGGCGCTCTGAGGATGGCCATCTCCGGCCCCTGCGCGCCACGGGGGGCGAGCTGGCCAACCGCAGCCGGGCGGAGCTGGTAGACCTGGTGCAATGGACCGACTTGATCCTCTTCGACTACCTGACGGCCAACTTTGACCGGCTTGTCAGCAACCTCTTCAGCCTGCAGTGGGACCCGCGGGTCATGCAGCGCGCCACGAGCAACCTGCACCGCGGCCCGGGCGGGGCGCTGGTCTTTCTGGACAACGAGGCGGGCTTGGTGCACGGCTACCGGGTGGCGGGCATGTGGGACAAGTATAACGAGCCGCTGCTGCAGTCAGTGTGCGTGTTCCGAGAGCGGACTGCGCGGCGTGTCCTGGAGCTGCACCGCGGCCAGGACGCGGCCGCCCGGCTGCTGCGCCTCTACCAGCACCACGAGCCTCGCTTCCCGGAGCTGGCCGCCCTCGCCGACCCCCACGCTCAGCTGCTGCAGCGTCGCCTCGACTTCCTCGCCAAGCACATTTTGCACTGTAAGGCTAAGTACGGCCGCCGACCGGGGGCTTAGCATCCCCCGGAGGAGAAGGAAAAGAGAGAGAGAGAGAGACCCTGGCTGGGGAATGGATGATGGGGGAAGGGCCGTCGCCTCAGCCACCGCCTGGGACCAGCCAGCCAACGCCCAGCCGGAGACCCGAGCGCGAAGGCGGCTAAAAACTTCAGCTTTACCCACCTGCCCCTTTCTCTCAGTCCCAAGCTGTGTCCTTTCAAAGTTCTGGGAGGACGAACTCACCGAGGCGAGAAGTGTAACATTTCCTCCACCCAGCCTATAAAAGGATTCTTCCCTGTGCCAGCACGGAGTTTGCATCCAAAGAAACTGGCTGCTGCCGGAGTTTGGCCCCCGGGTGGCCGTCTCTGTGGGAGATACATCCTATTTCTTGGCCCCCTCATTCCCCTTCCGAAAAAGGAAAACTTCTATTTGAGCCATTGAGCTAATTCTGCAGTTTCCTACCAAACGCAGCGCTGGTGGCCCCGGAGCAGGGCTATGACATTGGCTGGTGGAGCCCCCTTCCTGTGTTCTCCCTTTGTTCCGGCTTGGTGATGGTGAGATCACTGTTAAGAGCTAGGGAACCGCTCCCGATAGGACAAAGGGAGCAGGACCTGCAGAATGGAGGGAGTCCTGCAGACGCTGTCTGACTTGTTCCTTACAGCTTGTCATTTCAGCCTGAAGGCTACAAATGCAGGACCGGCTGTATGCATTGATTCAAATAATGAATTTCTTCTTCCTCCCCCTTCCCAACCGTTCATAATTTTGTCAATGATGATGTTCACCAGAAGGGAAAAAAAAAAGTTTCATGCACTTTACTTTGTTTTTATTTTAATTTTTTATTAAGAAAAACTTTTTTTATTTTGACAAAATTTGCCTTCTATGTGTATATATGTGCATAAAGTGTGGTGTAAATATACTAAACAAACTTATATTTCAATAAAAGGGAGTTTAAAATTTAGAATTTAATTCCTGTGGTTTTAACTGTTTGAGGTATCTGATGCCCTGCCTGGTTTTAGAATAAGCTCTAAGGTTTCTCCCTTGTGGATGTGCTTTTAAAACAAAGGACGCATGTATATCCCAGCCGTGACCATGGAACTTATAGAATTGAACAAAGACAAGAGCAGATTCCCTGTCCTGCTCACTCAAATGAACCCTCGCGCAGGAAATTTCAGAGTTCAGCATAGAACATGCGGGATGGTGGAGAGAGACATGGACGGAAAGTATTCTATTTCCTGGCCAATAAAACTGTGATATAAAAGGATTTCACTGTAATTTAGTCCTATATTAATCATTTGGCAAATATGATAGAACCAGATGTATAGACTGAAATATGATAAAAGCCTCCCCCCTTTAAACTTAACCGCTGTGGTCACGTGTTGCACCTGATTTTCAGCATTTTAAGTACCACGCATCACAATGCGTACAGATAATAAGCTGAGCACAAACTGCATACAGGTAGAGAAATCATAAATTAATTCTTCTCTTTAATCTCCCAGCATAAATTCCATTGCATCCAGGAGATCATAATCTCCAACATCTGGACTCATCCAGCTCTCTTAAGAGATTGTACTGTTCCCCGCCCCCCCAAGTACTAATTGCATGGTCCCCTCAGAGCAGCCATTGTGAAACCAGGAATGTGTGTAGTACTTTGTATATGGCATTTGGACCCTTCTTGGTGACTTCAAACAGGAAATGTCTTTGTATTTTCTTAAGCTTCTTTTTGACCCATGGGGAGAGGAGAGGCAGTCAGTTTGTGTCTTTTTTTTTTTAATGACCCATTGGTGTTTTATCTTGGCATTTTATTTGATATGTGGGTCCAAATGATCTTGCCTGTTATCTTCTTTTTATTTAATGACCTTTAACTCAAAGCAACTTTTGGCTACTTTAATAGATTTTTATTTGACTTGCATTTGTAAACCTAGGGTTTTATAGACTCGTGATGGTATTAAATCTCTGTGGGTTTCCCTTCTCACTGTGCATTACAACACAGCATGTAATTTAACGATTTAATGCCATCCTTATGTTTCAGTGCCTCTGCTAAGCCAGCTCAAAAAAGGGTCCATAAAGTTTGTAGTGTAAGCCAAAGATTTTCGTGATACAGGGTAGTGATAATGGCAAATACATCTTTTTCAAGACATTGTTAATGTGAAACCTCTGATAGTTACCTCTTACAAAAAGAAACATTTTCCATTTCTGATGATTGATAACTATATGAGATTTCCTGCCCAAATCAGCAGAGGCTGCTCCAAGAAAAGGATAAATATTCAGCAATCTGCATGCTTACCCGACGTGTTCATGGAGGAAAACCATGGGCAGAGCTAAGTTAGAAGTTTCACAGATGCACAGGAAATATACCCTGACTCCCATATAACTTCTGCCCTGGTAAATTCTGGGCCAGCTGCATTCTCCACATTCCTCCTAAACTTCAGTTTCAAGCCCAGACTTGACCACGGTTAACCCAGAGCAAGAAACGAAGCATAATTTAAATGGCTCTTCTCAGATTCTTTAGTGAACCGTATCTGCCTGTTCGAGAAATAAGTTTAATTACATGGTGGAGTTGTTAAGGGAACCAAGACTTAATTACAGAGAAGAGGTTTTACCTGTTGCCATTCCTTGTGGATAATCGGTAGTCTGTGACATGGAAAGATCAATTAATGTTTTGCCATGGTCAGTGAATGCTGCTAGGACCAAATCATTTTTCAGATGAAGAAAAAACTTTCAGGCTGCAGCATGGTGTAAGAGAGTAAGAGGTTCTGCAGGCAGACTATATTCTGAATTCTGTCCCTCACCTGTTTGCTTTCATCAAGTCGTTTATCTTAGTTCCCTCATTTATGAAATGGACATTCAGTCAGAGTATTGTGGGATTTAAATGTTAACATATAAAACATAAGGACACACATAGGTACTTTTAAAAAAAACCTCACTTCCTATTGCTCTAAAAAAAAAAAAATACTCCTGCCTTTCTTACACTTCAGTAAATTTCTACTAATTTTCATCATCAAAGCCAAATCTAAAAATGTCCAAGATGAGGTCCAGTTTTTGAAATTAGTAATAAACGAATTTTTAAGTGCTTGAGAACCCTATTCTAGCATATGATCCTATGCAAAGCACTGGATCATATGGCCAGGGGCAGAGGCTTGATCTCTATGTGGGCTCGAGTGGGTGGTTTCAGGACCCAAGCAGACCCCCTGTACCACAGGCAGCTATACTACAAATATACGAGGGTGATTTTTTTTTAAAGTAGATGGATCATTGCAAATCCATCATCACTTCTGGAAAGCATCAAAAAGTGATGAATCTTTGCAAGAAGAACAATCCTCCTCCAATTTCCTTCTGCCATGAGAAAGTAGGCAGTTGACCTTTATTCCCTGGATTTGACTGTTGATTAATTCACTTTGTCAATGACATAGTTCTAAACTCTATTAAGAGTACTTGCCCTCCTGTCTTCGAATCAGGGAGAAAAACAAATTATTTTAACACCTCTCAACAGTTCTCCACCTTCCGCCTACCACCGCAGCTAGGAGAGTCCTCTTAAGGCCTAGAAGTTGGTTATGTGGATTAAATGAGTAACTATTTGTAGCATTCTCAGAACAGTGCCTGGCACAGGGTAAATGCAATACAGAGTGTTTGTTTATTCGTGGAATAGATCATTTTCTTCTCTTAAGTCAAAACCAGAGGCATTTTGGGTCCCAGGCAGGCTCCTCTTTCATAATCCTGCTGTATCTCTGCAATCATAGAACACCTTCTACATGCTTCTATTTTGGCTCAGGAAAACCAGCCAGAGTGCATGAGTCTGGCAGGAATTACCTAAAGCCCACAGTTGTCAGCTGGTTGTCTCCTTTCTGAGATTGCCCTCTGTGTGAGTCGTCACATGCAGCCCCCTCTTTTTCACCGGGAGGCTGTGATTCTGTTTCTCATATGGCTCATCAGCTCCAGGGAGCAGTAAGCTGTGGAATTGTGCGCCTTCTGAGCTACCCAGTTGCCATGAATCCTCCAAGCCTGGGCACTGATCATTTGTCCCTCCACACATCTGACCCCTCCCACAGAGCCACTGATCCCTGTGGTGTAAGGTTGGCAGGAGTATTAAAGAAAGAGCGGGGACTCCGGTTGACCCAGAAGCACGGGAATTGCTCCAGAAAGAAATAGAATGTCAGCTTCCAAGGTGGATGGAAATCCCAGGGCAAGAGTTGACACCCACCTCCAAGCATACTTTAATCATTAGAGTCAAGTGGAAAGGATATTGCGAGTCAAGAGATTCAGGCTACTTCTGAGTCATGTGACTTGGGAAAGTCATTTCCCTCTCTGGCTCCAGGTGTCTTACCTGGAACAGGGGGTGTTTGATTAGACTGGTAAGTTTACTATTTTTGTCACCAGAACTCACAGTAAGGCACACGCTTTACATTGTGACCCAGCACGCGCGCGCGTGTGCCCACGCACGCACGGGCGCGCACACACACACGCACACACACTCTACTCAACTGAAACAAGTTCCACAAAACTGCCTGTACAACACACTTTTATATTCAATTCAATTTTATTCTATTCCTCCTCTTCCTCTACTTCCCAATGCTAGTCGTGACCCTCTAAACTGATTTAATAACTCATCAGTGCGGCATAGTCTACACTATGCAAAATACTGGATTAGGTGATTGATAAGCTCCTTTCCAGCTCTAAGATTCTAGGGAAATTCCATTTATAACCAGTTCACCACCTACTATAATTTTTTCCCCAAAGAGAATACAAGCAGATTTCAATTTTCTACACTCTTTAAAAACAAAAGACGGATGTATATTTCAAAACGTAATTGGAAGAACTGCTCAAAATCTCACCTAGGGTCGTTTTATGAACACCTTCGAGATCCCCTAAATGTGGGTGGGACATAACTTTCGGTCTCTTCTTGCCATGTGGGAGCAAATAGTGTTGTTGCGTGGCTTTGGAAGGAAAAAAAAAATTCTTTGCGTCTCTGCCTCAACGTGGCCCAAGGACGACTCAAGGGGACAGTTTCTTCTCTGTGTGTTCATAAAGATCAGATGTAGGAGTCATAATTTTTTAATGTGACTGTTTTACCAACTTCTCTTTCTGTGTCCTGCTGTGGTAGAAACTGCATTAATAAACTATGTCTCAGTGCTGCCTAGCTGGAATTTTTTTCTCTGCAGGACTCCAGCAAATACAGCTGAAGGAATCCTCATTTTATTATCTATTCAACTTTCTTTCCATTCTGAATATGTCTTCTTGACACTTCTGAATTTTTTCCCTTAACGGTACCCTAATTTTTCTTAGGAGAATAGAGAACTGATTGTTCATTGAATAACAACAACAAAAAAAAGCTCTTTTTTTTCCCTTTCTTTGATGCCATATGGTATCTTTTATGGCTTTAACAGTTATATTACACCCTATCCAGAAAAAAACTAAATAGCTTATGGAACTGGCCTTTTTCCAGTATCAGCCCACAGATTTTACTTTGCTGAGAAATTGTGAGTTAATAATAGAGAAGTGTCACTTTTAATTTGATGGTCCTACATCATGCATTTGTCTCTGCCTGTTTACACCTTCCTCAGTAATTTTTTAAATGCTTGTTAAAGTCTTTGTCCCCATCTTACAAATGGCCTGAAGAAGCAAGGAGAGTAGGGAATGACCATAGCCATGATCTTTTTTTTTTTCTTTTTAGTTGTGATAAAATATACACATCACAAAATGTGCCATTTTAACCGTTGTTAAGTGTACAGTTCAGTGATATGAATGTGATGCAACCATACCACTATCTATTTCCAAAATTTTTTCATCAGTCCAAACAAGCTCTGTCATCATTAAGTCATATAACCCCATTAAGCCATATATCCCCATTCCTCCTTTGCCCCAGCCTCTGGTAACTTCTAATCTACTTTCTATCTCTATGAACTTGCCTAGTCTCAATATTTCATATAAATGGAATCATACAATATTTGTCCTATTTTGTCTGTCTTCTT